ATCCATGTCTTCTAATCCATATCCTCTTCTTTTTCCTCTGATATATTTCTTCTTCTTCTTCTTCTTCTTCTTCTTCTTCTTCTTCTTCTTCTTGCTTTTGTTGTTCTTCTACTTTGCTATTTTCCTTCTTTTTCTTCTTCTTCTTTAATCCAGATCTTCTTCCAACCTTTTTCTTTTTCTTTTAATCCATTTCTTCTTCTTCTTTCTTCTTCTTCTTCTTCTTCTTCTTCTTCTTCTTCTTCTTCTTCTTTATCAATCTCCTCTTAAAACGGGCTTAAAAGAATACGTTATAGATTTATGACTTTTAATCCAGTTCTTCTTCCGTATCTTTCTGTTGTTGTTGTTGTTGTTGTTGTTCTTCTTCTTCTTCTTCTTCTTCTTCTTCTTCTTCTTCTTCTTCTTCTTCTTCTTCTAATCCCTTTTCTGCCATGCATGTAAACAAGCTCGTTACGTGGGTCAAATGCTGTTTTCCTCTTACCTGTCCTGTCAGTGTCAAATTCTCCACGCCCTTTTTCCTCATTATGTGCCCTAGTCTTTTTGCTTCCATTTTCTCTAAAACATCGTCGTTGCTCACATATTGAATCCACGTTTCTTCTTCTGTGTGGAGATGGTTCCTGAATTTGCTGCCATATAATGTGTCTCATTTTGACTGTTATCTCATTCTGATGTTGAGTATAAATGTCCTTTTAGTTTCCATTTTTTTTCTAAAATATCGTCGTTGTTCACATGTTCAGTCTATGGTATTCTCAGGACCCTTCTATAGAACATTCTGTTGACGCAAGGCTTCTCCTTAATTGTGTGGAGATTGTCCAGCATTCACTATCATATAGAAGGACTAATATTGTATAACGGTTCTTATATTCGTTTCTAAGGAAATTTTCCTGTTTCTTAACATTTTGCATAGTTTCGGATTTCCGTCTCACACTTTCCGTCCTCTGTTAAAAGACTTTTCCTACAGACATTGTAAATCCCTAAGTATACCCAAAGTTGACAGAAAATCCACGATTAAATGCGGTGACACAAACAATGAAAATGATGACACTCGTTTAAAATAACCAGCTGGTATTTATTACGCTTTAAATTACTAATTTAGCTGATATTTACTAAGCTTTACATCGCGTAATAGAGATGGGGGCGGCATTTCTATGATTACACTAGCATTGGTCAATTAGAATAACTTGCTAGTTAACTGCTCTATAGCAGAATGATGGAATAGTAACAATAGGTCTATTCAATAAATTCCGAAAGAAAGCCTTGCGCATGCTGGCGACACACTTACACAACTCGATCGAAAGATTATGGTAGTGTGCGCATGCGCTGATTAAAACAGAAAAATAAAGGAAAATAAAGAAAAAATGTTTTCTTTTGCAAAGTCTTTTAATTATTTATCCTTATTTTCTCTTCCCTATTTCCATTCCTATTTACTTTTTCCTTTTTCTTCTTTAATTTTGTCCGCATTCCTTTTTAATTAGAAAGGTTTTAATTAGAGAATCAGTCGTTCAAAGCTAATAAAGCCTCCGTTTTTCGGAAAGTCGATCGATCACACCTCTTCCCCGTTCATCCATTCTCCCAAAGGGAACATATTTAATGTTGTAGTTCGATGCTTAGCAGTTGCCAACTTTATGCACCGAACTAATTAGGTGACATGTGCTTGTGGTCTGCTACATAGCTTAAATTGTTCTGCTTGAGCTGGAAGTTGGCGTTCGAGCCTCGGTAAAAGGCCTGTATTTCTTTTCCTGAAGAAAAAAATTCCCTGTCCAAACGCAGCTTCTTCTATGTGTCGTATCCGTTCAGAACGCGGGTGGTCATGTCCCTCCACAACGTCCTGTCATGTAAAGTTCTGAATAAGTTTATTTTGCCATCCTTTCTAATTCCTGATTGTCCAAGGATGTGCCCAAGCTCGTTAAGTCTGTTAATCACCGTTCTCCTCTCTCTCTCTCCCTCCCTCTCTCTCTCCCTCCCCTCTCTCTCTCTCTCTCTCTCTCTCTTAAGTATGTTCTGTGAGTGTCAAATTCTCCAAGCCGTCTTTCTTCATTATATACACTAAGAATTTCAATTGTTTTTTTCTAATTCTAAGTATGATTACTCTTTTTGTTTCCATTTTCCTTAAAATTTCCATGTTATTCTCAGCATCAATGCTGTTTGGTTAATATAATCCCGGAAAATATAAGATTTATAATCTAATTTCAACTTAATCGTTAAGCCTTATCGTTATTAATCTCTGTCTGTTTAACCACCCCCGCTCTCTTTCTTGATAGTAGTACACATCCTTTAATCTGGAGAGATAAGGATTGATCTCTCCAGGGCGAAGACCTTGGCGATGGTATATGCGCTGAATTCTCACCCACCCCTACTACCAGGTGTACCGATAAGATCCAAAGGAATATTGTGTATTAAATTTGGGCTCTGCTTGACCGCAGGAATTGCCGGAAACTTGTCAGTGTTGATAGCCAACTCCCTTTGGGGCTAGTAATATAAATATATGAATATATAAATATATAATAAAACATTATATACATTTTTACATATCCTTTATAATTTTAGGGATAAAAAATTGTAAAAAAAAATGGAGAAAAAGGTTTCGAGTAACAGATTTTGTCCTTTGGGACTTCATCATCAATCTGTACCTCTTTCCTTCGATCTTTTCCTCTTGTCTTAAATCCGTCCTCCTTGCAATCAATCTGTTCTTTATGCTTTCAATCTTTCCTCCTTGCCTTCAATATGTCCTTCATTCCTTCAATCTTTCACTCTTAGCTTCAAACTGTCCCTCTTGCCTTAAATCCGTTCCCCTTGCCTTCAATCTGTCCTTCATGCGTTCAAGCTGCCCTTCATACCTTCAATCTGTTCTTCATGCTTTCAACCTTCAGTCTTTGAGTCAGTCTGTCCTCCTTGCCTTCAATCTTTCCCTCTTGGCGTCAGTCTGTCTCCCTTGACTTCAATATGACCTCCTGGACTTCAATCTGTCCACCTTGCCTTCAATCTGTCCTCCTTGCCTTCAATCTTTCCCTCTTGGCGTCAGTCTGTCTCCCTTGACTTCAATATGACCTCCTGGCCTTCAATCTGTCCACCTTGCCTTCAATCTGTCCTCCTTGCCTTCAATCTTTCCCTCTTGGCGTCAGTCTGTCTCCCTTGACTTCAATATGACCTCCTGGCTTTCAATCTGTCCACCTTGCCTTCAATCTGTCCTCCTTGCCTTCAATCTTTCCCTCTTGGCGTCAGTCTGTCTCCCTTGACTTCAATATGACCTCCTGGCCTTAAATCTGTCCACCTTGCCTTCAATCTGTCCTTCATGCCTTCAATCTTTCCCTCTTAGCTTCAAAATGTTCATCTTTCCTTCGATCTATCCCTCTTGTTTTAAATCCGTCCTCCTTGCCTTCAATCTCTTCTTCATGCTTACAATCTTTCCCTCTTTGCGTCAGTCTGTCCTCCTTCCCTTCAATCTGTCCCTCTTGCCTTCAATCTGTCCCCCTTGCCTTCAATCTGTCCCTCTTGCCTTCAATCTGTCCCCCTTGCCTTCAATCTGTCCCTCTTGCCTTCAATCTGTCCTCCTTGCCTTCAATCTGTTCCTCTTGCTTTCAATATGTCCTCCTGGCCTTCAATATATGCCTCTTGCCTTCAATCTGTCCTCCTTGCCTTCAATCTGTCCTCCTTGCCTTCAATCTGTTCCTCTTGCCTTCAATATGTCCTCCTGGCCTTCAATATATCCCTCTTGCCTTCAATCTGTCCTCCTTGTTTTCAATCTTTCCCTCTTGGCGTCAGTCTGTCTCCCTTGCCTTCAATCTGTCCTCCTTGCTTTCAATCTGTCCTTCATACGTTCAAGCTGTCCTTCAATCTTTTCTTCATGCTTTCAATTTTTCCCTCTTGGCGTCAGTCTGTCCCCCTTGTCTTCAATATGTCTTCCTGGCATTCAATCTGTCCTTCATGCCTTCAATCTATCCCTCTTGCATTTAAACTGTCCCTCTTGGTTCGAATCTGTCTTTCTTGTCTTCAGTCTGTTATGCGTTATTTTGCTCTCACTTTACTTATTGGCGGCTCTAGAAATTTCAAACTGCCTCGTTCTGATGTTAAGTATAAGTGTTCTTTTCGTTTCTATCTTCACTAAAACTTCGTCGTTGCTCACATATTCCACCCATGGTATTCTCAGCATGCTTCTGTAGGATTTGTTGCTTCTAGTAAGTATTTAATCTGCTATTTAGATTTTCTAGGGTTCAGCGCCATCTAGGATTAGTATCTAACGAATTTTTCCTGCTTCTTAATAATTTGCTTAGCTTTTGAAAAGCATCTTTTGTTGGCCCAATGCGCCGTCGGATTTCAGTGTCGCATTGTCTGTCCTGTATTAAAACATTTCCTAAATAGTTAAATTGCTGTCCCTGTTTGATTTTGGTGTTTACAAATTGGCATGTTGGGCTGTTCCTTCTGCTAAAAACTATTCATTCTGTCTTCTCGTAATTGATGTTTAGTCCTTTCTTCTCGCTTTCCCTCACTACCTTTTATTGCAGTTCGTGTTAAAAAATAATTATTAACTATTGTAGCCAAATACAACTTAATAAGATGAGTAAGCCATTAATAACAGAATTCGCCGGTACACGTCACTTAATGATTGTAATAAATACTTAGATTATTTAAATATTAACATTAAAATGTTAAAAACATTACTCATCAATCAAAAAGCAATAACAATGTTTATCATCTTCCCAGAAAATTGAGAGCTTGAGTTAACGATACTATTAAATTTTTCTTCCCGACATATGAAGGTCGTTTGTGAGACATAGGTCTTCCCGAGATCATGGGGAAGAATGAGTCCTTAAACTAGCCCGCTTAACCAATGTGTGTTGATAGGGGCAGATGTGAGACACTTAGGCAATCATGTTTCTTTTCGATTTAGGATTGCCCAAGGGTATTCACGCTTAAGTTAGTATAACGTACCCGACTGGATTTAGAACTCAGCTCTTATTCCGAGTCGATATCTATTACACTACTCGCACAGTGTCCGTCCCTAGCTTACAGCACCTGGTATTCCCAAGCGGTCACTCATTTAGACACTGTCTAGGCTCGACGTTGCTTAACTTCGATGATTTGACGAGAACCTGTTTTTCAAAGTGATATGTCCGGAACGTTTTATTTAATTTAAGGTATATTTATGTTTTGTTAAATATACTGCCCAAAATACCTATACGAGTTCATTTTTAAAAATGCTTTTCTTATTGCTTTCCAAGTTTTCTTTGTTTTAGGGATGTATGTTGCCCATAGCATTGTTTTCTAAAAAGTAAAAAAAGATACATATAGCCACCACGCTCCATCAAAGGTTAACATGTCACTATATATATATATATATATATATATATATATATATATATATATATATATATATATATATATATATATAAACACAAACCAATATCCGACTATTAATATAAGAAAATATATGAAAATAACAAAATACTATGATTATACGAAAGTATAGGTCGGCTCTAGTATTCGAGGATAGGCGTCTACTGGGGTGGCTAGCCAATCCCTATTGCAGACGCTTGCTCGGGCGCATTTTTGTTAATCAGCACCCACATATTCCACCTGCGGTTTATACTGCAGCTATGCTGAGCAGACCTTAGTTACAGTTTCTATCTATCGTGATCAACAATTTGAACAAGGCCAGCACACTCAAGCCCTCGGCCACGATGACTTGTGACTTCGTGCTAGCATATTTATTGACGGCCCGGAAAGGTTCCGTCTACTCAATTCCGTTCAATATTATAGTTTTCAGGCACTTTCCAAAGGTGCCTTACGCTGGGATCGTTCACCTCCAGAGCGATAACATTAGAAAATCTCCTTCCTGATAAATCGACCACGGTGAGATTCGAACCCGGGTCTCATGGTTAGAATGCGAACGTGCCCATAAAATAACAATCAACATTAAGTAAAATATCTTTCAATATGGTCGCCGATTCGAATAAAACTGTTATCTAAAGATTATCATTTACTTTTAGATGTCTATTTTATTTTATTCTATTTTATTATATATATATATATATATATATATATATATATATATATATATATATATATATATATATATATATATATATATTACAAAGCAGAGAAATCCCAAATTACCCTCATGAGTATAGATTACTTCGAATGCGTTAGTTTTATGCAACTCTAATGGTGGACTGTATTCATTATCGGAACTAGAGGTTTAAAGTTTTATTTTGGTGTATGTATACACACACACACACACACACACACATATATATATATATATATATATATATATATATATATATATATATATATAGAGAGAGAGAGAGAGAGAGAGAATTTAGAATTATGGAATGTATACATTCATATTCATGCTACATATTACTCTCTCTCTATTATTATATATATATATATATATATATATATATATATATATATATATATATATATATTCAAACATATTTTTTTTTAATAATCTGGTCATAGTATGTCGATTTATTTTTATTGTAATCTACTCGAATTCAGTCAGTCGATCATTGAATTCTTAATGTCGATATTAAATTCATTAAGGAAGGCACCTTAGTTTTATCTTTTCTTTTCTTTTATTTACATGTTTATTTTCCCAAATTAGGAATACGAGACTCTCCATTGCTTATTGATGTTATTACATTTGCACATACCATCAACTTTTTGTAAACGCCAAATCTTGATCTAGCATCTCACTTTATATTATTTACTCTCTAAATGGATGAAAGATATCCACTAACTGACAGGTCTTCTCTTTGTTTACAATAACTGGTTCTGGCCTTCTTGCCTGAATCTGTAGATTTGGTTGAGTTTTAATACTGAAAATGACTTTACGTTTTTATTCTAGAGAATAACTTCTAATTTACGTCTGATCAAAAAGTATGGGGATTGGTGCTATAAAAAGAAAAACTACGACACATATCAATTCTACATTTAACCTCCTTCGAAGGAGTCACTTTCTGAACTGACACGCTTTATCAAGCGACGTTTCCATTGATGGAAGAATTCCTGGAACTCCTTTTTTCTACGTTTTGAAATCTCGTTCCTTTCAAGTGTGATTTGATTTTTGTAAAGTGGAAAACGTCGTAAGGGGCGAGATCTGGAGAATATGGTGGCTGTCGGATTTGGGGAAAGTTGTCCTTCACCAAAGTCTGCTGAATAAGGACATGGTCACTGATGGAATCTCTGCACACTTTCCTTCCAAGCACTGTTATAAACAAGTGAACCATGGGAGAACGTTATAATTTAGTGTGAATGCGCAACAGAGCAGAAAATCAATTTGTACCAAACGGCTACGATCTGCGAACTGCAGCACTATTGCCATAGTAACAGTCCTGATACATTTTGATCATTTCTCGTGTAGATAGATAGATAGATAGATAGATAGATAGATAGATAGATAGATATAATTACGTAATGAAAATCTTGGTAATCCGTATGAATAATCCCAAGGAGGATGAAATCTAGAGAGCTCAATGTTAAATCAGAGCGATTAATTCAATGAAAACAGACAACTTTAATGGTTCATTGGTTATAATTTATTTCCCCGGGGAATTTCTTTTTCCCTGGCTCATCAGACCACACTTCCAAAGGTGAAAAATGAATTTAAATTTACATATGTTTTTTATACACTTTTGAGGAGTAGTTTTAATTTGATGTAAGGTGATATAGAGAGTAGGGAGAGATCAATTCCCGCTGTTTTCACTGCTATTTTTTGGAGTCAAAAAGATTATATGAGTTTATTACTACTCCTTGAGACATCGCAGTCAAGGTGGGCTTAATCCCTACAGAGGTTTAGACAGTTTGGTACAAGGCATCTGTAGTTGGAATTCTGTTATAATATAAGCTCGTAGTTGTGGTTAATAATATTCCAAGAAAAACATTAGAACAAAAATTTAGTGAAGAAACTGTTTAATCACATGGATTAATAGCGAATACCGTAGTTAGAGTGGCAATGCGTACGACACACTTTGCGACCACTTTCCGATGAGCGGTCTTTCCTCTCATAGTAAGAGTCTTTGTTCAGTTTAGTGTAGCGAAGGCCGGTCGTCTTTCCACACAATAGATCTAGAAATGATTTTCTAAACATGGCTTAGAAGCGGCAGAAACCCGAACGTATGTGGCACCCAGCGAACGCATTCACTTCTTCTTCTTCTTCTTCTTCTTCTTCATGTGCTGTGTACCCTTAGGATGTAGACGATCATGGCTCTCCACAACTTTCTGTCCCATTTAGCTCTTAATAAACTTTGTCTTTCTATTATGTCTCCTAAACCCTGTTTCGCCATCTATTTACTCGTCACTAAGTATCTTATGCGTTGTTTTCCCGTCTCTCTTGCCTGAAAACTATCCCGTGAGTATCAGATTTTCTAAGGCCTCCTTCCTCGTTACGTGCCTGGCTCACCTTGATGTTAAATATATGTTTCCTTTTTGTTTCCATTTCCTTTAAAACTTTAACGTTGCTCACATGTTCGGTCCATGGTATACTCAGCATCCTTCTGTAGAACCATATTTCTGTTGCTTCAAGTTTCTTCTTCATCTTTGAAGAGATTGTCCAGCAGTCGCAGACATACGGGAGGACAGATATCACGTAACGGGTTAGAATTACTTTGCATCTAATGTGCGCTTTATGCACTACTCAGACAAGATTACTAACAATATTCAGTCTCCCCAGCCCTGGGGCAACATGTGACACAAGGTCGGTTGTTTATTGTGGGTTTCCCGAGCCCGTGGGCTCGGCCCAAAAACATGCCCGTTTGAACGGGTTCAGGGCCGGTATTACTAACCGTTACACCACGTCGAAGTGCCCAAATGATTTCCTAAGCCTAGCTTAGATGGGGCACAAGGCCGGAAGTGGGGGCCCCCTGTGAGGATCGAACTCACTACTCAGTTGTAATTGATCTGGCAAGACAAGCTTGCTAACCATTGGACCACATCGAAGTAACAGATTCGGAAATGGATTAAAAAAATATACAGTAACACAAGGGTATTTTTATTGGAAATCCAACACAGGTTTCTTTACTAAACAAGAACCACACACGCGCGCGCGCGCACACATACACGCACACACACATACACATACATACACACACACATACACACACAAACAAACAAAAAAGTTTTCGATTTTTGATCTTGCGGTTGGTTGCAATCATGAGTCAAATGCAATTAAAATTGACACAGAACAATGACGATAAACCAGTCCCTACTTGCTCTTATTTTATATTTAAAAGATTTGAAAAAGAAATTTTCTGACCTTTAAAACTAAAAAAAGGAAAGAAATAATTCTATTTTAGTTTTGCTCTTTCTTTCTTTTATTTTCCTTTCCAATTTGTAAAAATTTATTTTTAACCTTAAATAATTCTTAAATAATCTTTCTTTCTTTCCTTCTTTTTCTTTCTCTTTCTTTCTTTCTTTCTTTCTTTGTTCCTTTCTTTTTTATTTCATTTATGTCCTTCTTTTCCAATTTGCATAAAGTTTTAACCTTTTTTCTTATCCCTAAACAATATACTTCTTTCTTTCTTTCTTTCTTTCTTTCTTTCTTTCTTTCTTTCTTTCTTTATTTCTTTATTTATTTATTTTACGTCCTTCCTTTCCAATTTGCATAAAGCTTTAACCTGTTTTCTTATTCCTAAATAATAAATTTCTTTCTTTCTTTCTTTCTTTCTTTCTTTCTTTCTTTCTTTCTTTTATGTCCTTCCTTTCAATTTTGCATAAAGCTTTAATCTTTTTTCTTATCCCTAAATAATAAATTTTCTTTCTTTCTTTCTTTCTTTCTTTCTTTCTTTCTTTCTTTCTTTCTTTTATGTCCTTCATTTTAATTTTGCATAAAGCTTTAATCTTTTTTCTTATCCCTAAATAATAAATTTTCTTTCTTTCTTTCATTCTTTCTTTTATGTCCTTCCTTTCAATTTTGCATAAAGCTTTAATCTTTTTCCTTATCCCTAAATAATAAATTTTCTTTCTTTATTTTCTTTCGTTCTTTCTTTCTTTCTTTCTTTCTTTTATGGCCTTCCTTTCCAATTTGCATAAAGCTTTAATCTTTTTTCTTATCCCTAAATAATAAATTCTTTCTTTCTTTCTTTCTTTCTTTCTTTCTTTTTTCTTAAAT